TGGCTAAACCCCTAATTCAAAATTGTTAAGCTGATATTAATATTCCAATACAATACGAAAACCAAGTTTATTTTACATCATATACAACGAATGTTCCCGYACATAGTGCGGGTGAGAATCTAGTTTTCATTTAAAGTTTAGTTCAATTTGATTTAGAGATCATCTTACCGAATTAAACCGGTCTCACTCGCAATCAAATTCGGACAATTACACTCAGAAACACACGTCACTCTCTCTCTCTCTCCCCTTCTCGTTAGATCGATTCGGATTTGGTGTGTGTGTGTGTTTTCCGGTGAGTTGAGTAAATCTGAATCGGAGATTGAATCAGAGAAGAAGATTCCAGATCGGTGGTTGGTGATGGAGGAAGCGCTTGAAATGGTTTTAAGGCAGGTCGAATCGAATTGAATTGATCTCGGCTTATGTGAGAAGCTGCAATTTTGTGCATTTTTGTTTCATCCTTTTATCATAAATACGAGACTCGAAAATCTAGTTCTTATGCACCTCGAATTACATTACATTATTATGAAGTAAACACCCAATCATTATTTTCTGTGCTGTTTGATTAGAGAATTTTGCTCTCATCCATAGAATTCAGAATCAGGATGCTCTGTTTTTGTGTTTGATTTGAATTTCATGATTATGTTTCCTTTCTTTCAGGAAATGTAAGAATTAAGAACTGAGTTTCATTTTTCTGCTAGCAGTGGAGGAATTTTCTTGTATCTAATCTTATGGAATCTTGTTTCTGCAGAATTGGAGGCCACAATGACCGGAGTTTCGGATCCTCCGGTGTCGGCAGGCAAGCGTACCCTCCTCCGAGCTTCTTCTTCCCCTCTGGATTTGATTTCTGTTTTGTGTTGCTCTAATCTAGTGTTTCTTTTTTTTTTTATACACATGCAGGACTGCTGTCTGTGGATTGCGAGGATTCATCGGAGTCATCATCTCAAACAGAAGTTCATGGGTATGCATACATCTCTGAATTGATGACGGTGTTTCTTTCATGTGTTGTTAAAGAATCTCTTTCTTGGCAGCTGGACGATTAACACCAAGTATTACACTACGGATGCTTCTGTGTGTGTATCACATATTTGCGATGACTACTCTCTGCCTCAGTCCCATCCACTGGTGGCTTTAGTTATGCTCTTTGACCTGAGTCAGGTTTGCCATTGATTCATACTCCTTACCCCCCTTTGACTGTGACTGTGGATATCAGGGGAACATGTCTTGAGTGGTGCTGTCAGAACAATATCAAGTTCATTGAGGCTTGTGCCTCTAATCCTCATTTTGATAAGTGTAAGTTCTTTGTTACTCAGATAATCCTTCCTTGTTCATATTGATGCAATAACCAAATGAGACTCAGGGGTCGGTCCTTGTATGTTTATCAGTCAATGGGGATTCGCAAGGGGTTGAACGTATATTTGGTGCTCTTTCGGCACATATGTGGCCTGGAATGATTCTGAAATCGGGTGATATGATAACTGAACCCATGTTACCTCATGGAGAAGGTTATTTGTTTCTTTTCCCATGTATAGTAAGGTTTCCCCTTGGACTCTCATGTTGATTGGATCTTACATTTCCTCATTCTCATAGTTGTCAGAAAGAGAATCTGGATACGGATTGGAGTATGAAGTTCTATCAGCTGATCCATGGGAGAATATCGAGGAAAGATGGGTCTCTGCAAGTGAAACGCATTCACATGGTGGATCCACCTCACCGAAGGAAGTTGTGGATGATGAGCTACGGCCTTCGCCGGATAATGAGACTGAGAGAGCAGTAGTGACAGGTGAAAAACCTACGAAAAACGACAAGTGTTACGAGTTTGAAGACGTGGAACCGTTGATGTCAGAAATAGGGACAACTTGCGATTGATGCCTGATTTCCAGAGGAGGGAAATAGCTGCAAACCTAGCGATGAAAATGGCTTCCATGTTTGGAGGTGACACTGATGGCGAGGAAGAATCTTAGTGAGCCCGTCGTTTCTATTAAGTATCAGCGTAGTTTATCCTTCCTTTATCAAATTTGCTTTATGTTTTGTGATAGACTAGATATAGTTGGAAAAGTGATTATAAGTGGTTGAAAAGAGGTTGGGAAGGTAGTCTTAGTTTAAAGAGAGTGGAAAAAGTTAAAAAAGTGTTTAGAGAGTATCTTAGTGTAAGGTTTAAGCGAGTAATTTAGTGTAAGTAAAAATGGTTTGATTTCTTTCACTTGTGAAAGAGAAGAGTATTTGTTTGTTTAGATTAGAATAGCGCATAGATTCATTCATCGAGAGAGAGATATGTGCGATGCATTCGAGTGTTTTTATCTACCATCTTTTACTTAAACATATGTTCAATAAACGAGCTTCGAAATTCAAAATGAGGACACCAACTCACCATCGTCTAAAATATGGTAAGTCCGTAGCCGAAATGCACGTTGGAATCATCGTTGCTGTTTTAATCGTTAAGAGGAGTCAAACTTGTTGGTTTATCTATCATATGCAAGAGAATAACATATTTGAATATTTGAACTCGCATCTTATTGAAAAACAAGTAATTTTTCAACACGTAGGGATCTCATTACATGTTTGATATGTAATGTAGTCTTGGAATGGGTTTGCATCTCCATATGATTCCTTGTAGCCAGCTTTGTTTCAATTTAACGTGCTCCTTTGCCGGGTTTGTTTACATTACTCTGATAATTAATTATGTTTTTTTTTAGTTGAATCGAAGACATATATAGAGCAATGTAAACAAACCCGGCGGATTCATCAAGCTTACATGATGCATATTAATTATATTGAAGATAAATATACTCCACTCGAAGTACCAAATCCATTAATAACCAGCTTCATGTTCCTAGTTCCTAACTTTTGCAATATCTATGTTACATCTTCATTTTACCTTCATCCTCGGCTTCACATTCCTTGTGACGATGAACGTTAGATAATTCCTCGATACTAGTTACTTTTGCTTTGTAAATTCATTGATTAATATATACATTAAGATTGGTTTTGACATTGACAATGGACGAAAACTGAGTAGAAATTCAACTTTCATTTAAATTGTAACGAATAGAAACTAATTATACATCATTTGTATTTGTTAACATTTTATTCTAATATATTTTTTTTGAAGAAATGAAAGAGTTTAAAGTAGATGTCATTCATATATGAGCTTTTGGAGGTGAACAAGGATAGACGCAAACACATTCTGCAACTCCTCCAGTACTTCAATCACAGAAGCCGCTAGCAATTTTTCCGAACGTAACTCTACACTGTGAAGTACAGTTTTTGCCGAGTTCACAAGGTCTCATACTCGCAGTGCATCCCATATTCTGCTCAACTATATATATATATTCAAGAAAACCATTTTAATACTTAGATAACAAGATTATTACTCTATTTGTTTCGATGAAAATTGTGCTACTCTACAATTTCATATGTAATAAAAAAATAATTAGTTTGAGATTTCATTCAAAAAAAAAAATATGCATAGAGTTTTATTAAAAAAGCATGATAGTAATTGTAGACCTAAGGCAAACAGAACAAGGAAGATGATGGAAAGAACATATGTAGATGCTGCCTTGGCCATTTGTTTGCTTCAATCTCTTCAAATTATTACTAATCGTGATTTTACTTGATAGATAGACTTAAACAAATTGAGTACTCAAACACACAAATTTACATTGGGTGACAAAAATTTTAAATTTGAGGATTTGAAGTTATTGTTGGAGATGTCCTAACAACACTTTTTATAACTATCTCATTACATTGATTCAATAGTTTATATTTTTTTTTTTACAACACTCTCATTGTATCTAGTCTAAATAGCTGACTTTGCTTTGTTTTAGTATGTACTCGTATTCTCTCTGTTTTGCATGTATATTTCAGAATAATAGTTTTCGTGGTCTGCTTCCCTTTGATGTTGTAGAGGAATAGAGTTAGAGTTGTGCTTGTAGATAGGTCGAGAAACGATATCCCGTGCATACTCCTACCGTTCCCACATTCGGTTGTTTGATGCATCAATATGGAGAAGAGTATTTTCACGGTTGATTCCTCTGTTTTCTCGGATAATATTTCTATAGACAGAGGTAGTCTTGTTGCCATAACGACAAACTTGTTCTTGGTGACAGAGCCGGATACAGAGGAACCAATGTTTGTGTTGATTCTCATATTCAAAATCGATACGAGTCTCTTCGCCCGAAGAGATTGAATTGAACGTCTTGTTTGTTTCAATAAGTGCAGAAGTATCAATCTCCACAGATTCTAATGTTACATTCAAGCAATGATGTCGATCAATCAAAGATTGTATAGCTAACATATTCATTTGACAATATAAGTTAAGATTGTGTAGGAACAAATGGACATGCACTCTTGTTCTGATATGATATGATCTGATTATTGCTTTCAGATCATGCACTGTTATGTTGTTCAATGGCAACCACAGGATTTACAAAAAAAAGATGATACAAGCTCAGTTTTTGCTAATGCTGAAAAATGACTCGTCGATTAGAAAATCATCAAAGACACAACTTTAAGAATTACTCATTTAAGGCATGACGAGCATTAGTGCAAATATTCATATAGGATAATTTCTGTAAATTAGTATTTGATAAATCAAAATCTGATAAATTAATAAATTGTTCTAGTTTTGTATTGATTTTACTAACCAAATATCTCAATAAATTAATATCACTAGCTATAAGTGAACAAAATATGATAATCCTGATATTATTAAATTAAAAAGGTTTTCTTATAGTAAATATTGTCAAATTGTTAGAAAGATTTTTTAAATAAAGTTGTACAAACTATTTATCATCTATACTCGTAATTTCTTAATTCATGCATCTACTGAGTCGCTTTCTCTAAAGATCATCCCTTGAACAATTAATTAACCTCACTTTTGTTTTTTGTTTTTGTTTTCATTCTCTTAATTAAAACGTTTAAGTTGGAGTATTTCTAAGAAATCAATCTTAACTCAGACTTAAACTTACCGACATTCAAAGCACTATCATATTTCGCTTGACTGGTCTCAACAAAACAAAACTCATAAGTTCCAATACAATTCAGATGTATTCGCATTAGTGACAAAAAGAGACATAAGTAACATACAACCATTTAAAAAAAAAAAAACTAACAACAACAATTAAAAATGAAACACTAATAATAGTTGATAACTATTAATGCCAACAAAAGGAAGGAAATCATTTTGTTTGACAACCAAAGGAAATAAGTTAAGCACTAAATAACAATAACAAAAATCAACTAATAGATGATTGATTGCTGGTAAGAACTGCTTATATCTAGTCAATAATACAGCTAGTAACCGACGATGTAACTCCGGTTATAAAATGTAATGTAAATTATTTGGCCCGGTCCTGGATTTTGTCGAATCCCATCTCGGTTGGGTCAGTGGCTTGAAGCTCATAGTGAACACCATCCAACACTTTTCTCAGTCCGCTTTTCGACGTCGCGTACATCATTTTCTCCCTTATCCTCGACCCCTCCGGCGACCTTTTAAAATAAAACCTTATTATCAGTTTTCGGATTAAGTTTACAGGATTGGAAAAGGTCATGACTTCTGGTCATACATATGCGGAAATATGACTGTCAAATGACCATTTTATCCTTTACCCTTAAAAGGGTACATCCGACATTTTGAGAAAATTGAAAAGACACAAAGAGAAAGAGAGACTATGAACAACACTGACCATGTGATGAAGAAGATCTTGCTCATGCGACAGTTATCGACGGTGACATAATCGAAATCAAACACGGCGTAACGACAGTCATCCTCCGGCAAAGAAGCAGTGAGATCGTCATAGCTCTCGCCGGCGGCACCAACTTTGTCGACGGCTACTTTCTGAGACTTCTCCTCGATCTTGAAAACGATGTATCTATGCACTTTCTTCCACTTCATCTCCATGAAAGATCTCTTGCATTCCTCAGTCATCCACATACCATTCGTCGCCTATACAAGATTTTACTTAATTTTAGTCAAAAAAATGTTAAAAAAAAAAAACCAAAATGAAAAATATGTAATTGTGTTATATTTATATGATTTTATACCGTCAACGCCATAGTGAATGTTGCTGAGCTAAGATTATGTTTCTTCTTCTTCTTTAGTTTGTTTTGAGTGAAGAGTATTTTGTTTTCTGCTGTGTGTGTTTGATGAGAGTGTAGTTTAGAGACTTATATAAAGAAGTGATTAAATTAATGCCATTGAGTTTCTCTATTATTACAAACTTACCACTCCCCTGAGAATGTCATTTGATGTAATTTTTTTTATATAGAAATTAATTTCAGGTTTTTAAATTTAGCATTTGACAGCCAATGCTTATAGTTAAGAACACCCATATATAGTTTTTTTTTTCACAAATAATATCAATGTTTAGAAAAGTACTAATTATTTCTTTTAAATTTGAATTTGTGTGATATTACCAAAGGAAAAACGAATGGTAATTTATTGTTTCCAGTGGTTGATGAGAAAAACAAACTTGGCATAGAAACTTATCATTATCTGTTCAGAATTGGGAGTTTCGCCGATTAAAAGTTAAAACTATATTAAGTGTTTTTATCTTTTTCTTCTTTACCAAATTTACGGTTTCAACTTTCAATTAGCTAGCTGTGTTTTTCCCGTGCGTGTACCAATGTAATAATTAATACTTGCTGTTTTATTCAAATTTATCTAAAAATAATAGTATAAATAATTAAATCATCTTCTATATATAATTATTTATTGATATTGAAAAGTTGTGTTATATTAATAAACATAGAAAAAATTCAAAGCTAGACATAAAACTTGCGGACAAAGTTGTAATAATGCTTTCATTTATTTTATTTTTTTGCTAAAAATTTATACAAATTCTACATGCACTACTTAGAATCACTGTGGTGTTAGCTTAAAAATTTGGCTTGATAACTGTGGGAAGTACATTTTGTGGTCTAACCTCTTTAATATCACTCACAAGTTATAACGTTAAAATAAGTTTCAAAAAAAAAGTTATAACGTAAAAATATGAGTCGCTAAAGATATAACAGTTCCAAAATCAAATATTTATTTTTTATTATATCAAATATTGCGCTTGTGTTTACAAATAGATATAATAACAATGAAGTTATGGATACAAAAACAAAGTTATGGATCTTAGTCTAATAATTACTCTTAGTTTGGGACATTCTTTAGTAAATCATCTCCTGTCTAGTAGAGACTCAAACATGGGAGCAAAGACTATTGGGTATTCACTATTCAGAGCCGGCTATGAGTTTAAGAAGACCGCAATTTAGAGAGGAAAAAAGGTTTTACATATTTTTTATAATAAAATAATCTGTTTTGTAAATAGAACCGGTTCACAAGTCCATATTTGGTGTTTTTGGCTTATAGGCGGTCGTGTGGGTACTAATTAAAATACCTTTAGAAAAGGCACAAATCAAATCATTTATAAATTATAAACTTAATATGAAACACAACTTGAATTTCTCATTTTCTTGTCTTCTGGTTTGTGTTAGTAATTTTTACATATATGTTTATAGATAACACTAAGTATTGGGTTAATGTTATTGAAGAAGATAAGCACAATAATTTAATATTGAATGTAAGACCAACCTGCGAATGAAAATGTAAAAAAAAACCTTTGGTATTGTTATTGAAGAAGATAAAAATCCTAAAATCTCTTATATATTAATTGGAGAGTGATTTTTCCAAAAAAACTTAGATGTTTTCACCAAAATCACTTTCACAATTTTAATGTGACATGTCATCCCTTAAAATATGATATGACATTCTCTCTGATTTAGCCCATTAATCTCTAATTAAAATTATCTCAAGCTCAATAATTAAAATTAGTTCAAGCTCAAAAGGAGGATGAGAATGATGACTCTATTGATGAAGTTAAGAAGTGATTATCAAAAACTAATCTCACGGAATAGAAGATTATTTTTACACGCTTTCTTTCTATTATTTGATTAGAGATTTTAGTTATTGTTACTTTTAAAAATAATTTTTTTTTTGGAATTTAATGAATTTTACTTTATTTCAAAAAAGTCTATTCAACCAAAAAGATTAATTAATAAATCGATTACATTTCGCGTCCAAATGTCCACAAATTTGCCTATCCAAAATTTAAGAATATCTCAGAAATAAAATCTATGAGCAACTACAAATTTAAAAGTGTGGAATTTGCTCTGAAATTTATGTATCATCAATCCCTTATATATTAATTGGAGAATGATTTTTTTTTTTAAAAGCTTAGGTGTCTTCACCAAAATCACTCTCCCAATTTTAGTGTGATATGACATCCCTTAAAATATGACATTCATTCTCTCTAATTTAACCCATTAATTCCTAATTAAAATTAGCCCAAACTCAAAATGAGGATGAGGATGAGAATGATGGCTCTATTAATGAAGTTAAGAAGTGATTATAAAAAAATAATCTCACATTTACATGCTTTCTTTCGATTATTTGATTAGG